CAAAGGCCTGTCTCGTTTTAAAAACTGTTATAATACTTAAATATGCTTTTTGCATCGAACGGAAGACAATACATCTGTCAGGTGATTTTGATTAATGTATTGCTACCTATAATAACTTGTGAAGTTTTATAAAGAGACTTACTTTAACATTCGACAGCTGACTTTTACATGTTAGTAATTAGAGTTTGTCGCTGTTTAAATTGTAGAAGTCAGTTGTCGATTGTAAAAGTAATTCTCTTTAAAAAAAACACCCATTAAGGGAAGTTGATGACAGAATAGATAGTCATCACCTTTATTAAAAATTTTAGGGATTATGAGTTTGCGATCAATATCTTTATACCCCCCGCTTGAAAAGCGGGAGGGTATATAGTAATCGGGATTTCCGTCCGTCCGTCTGTTACGCTTTATCTCTTATCCGCAGCTCCACTTATACTACTGAGTGAAATTTAATTAAACTTTCACAGAATCTTTATTACATATTGCCATCGTGCAACTCCTATTTTTAGCTCACCTCAACGAAGTTGGGGGAGTTTATGTAATACCCTCGGCGTCGGCGTCCCAGGTTAAGGTTAACTTTTTTGGAGCAGTTTTCTTTTTAAGAACTTCTATGTCCTATATTGATTAGACATGCATGGAAGATGATTCTAGTGTGTTTCATTGTACCAGTCAAAGTTTCAGATGCTGCAATTTCAGCAAAGGAATGACCAGGTTAATGTTTTTGGAGCAGGTTAACATTTTTGGTGTAGGTTTCATTTCCAAGTAACTATAAGCCTTATGTTGCCCAAACTTGCAGGGATGGTACATCTAAGGATGCATACTACCGGGCTTGCTTCGGATGCTGAATCTGACCTAAATTTTCCGGTTGAGCGAACAGGTTAAAGTTTTTGGTGCAGGTTTCATTTGCAAGTAACTATAAGCCCTATGTTGACCAAACTTGCATGGATGATACATCTTAGGATGCATACTACCGGGCTTGCATCGGATGCTGAATCTGACCTACATTTTCCGGTTGAGTGAACAGGTTAAAGTTTTTGGTACAGGTTTCATTTGCAAGTAACTTTAAGCCCTATGATGACCAAACTTGCATGGGTGATACATCTAAGGATACATACTACCAGGCTTGCTTCGGATGCTGAATCTGACCTACATTTTCCGGTTGAGTGAACAGGTAAAAGTTTTTGGTGCAGGTTTCATTTCCAAGGAACTATGAGTTTTTTAATGACCAATCTTGCATAGATAATACATCTAAGGATGCATACTACCAGGCTTGCTTCGGATGCTGAATCTGACCTACTTTTTGTGGATGAGTGAAAATGTTAGTTTTTTATGCATGTTTCATTTCCAATAAACTATGAGCCCTATAATGAGCAAACTTGCATGGATGATACATCTTAGGATGCACACTAATGGACTTGCTTCGGATGCTGAATTCGACATACATTTTTCAGATAATAGACCAGGTAAAAGTTATGGCTGCAGGTCTATTACCAAAAACTATAAGGCTTATATAACATTATATAAACCAAACTTGCACAAATGTTGCATCAAGAGATGAAAACTCTCAAATTTGCTTCAGAGGCTTGATTTTCATTACATTTTCATGAAGAAGAACTAGTTTAAATTTTTTATGTAGGTCTATTTCAAAGTATCATATCAAAATTGCTTAAATATGTTCATTTTTGGAATGTACACTTTTTGTTGGTTAATTGTGTGACTTTGCCTTACTTAAGACAACATTCGTTGAGGTGAGCTCTGTAATCTCTGATTACTTATGTTTTACTTTTATTATTGGACGCGTATTTTAGGTTTCCCATAACAAAACATGGACATTGCCATTATATGTTTATCTATGACGTCACATATAGAAGCTTCTGGATAACATTTGATAGGACGGGTTATTCCTCTTTACACATTACCGTACAACAATATACTCAACAAAAAAAGAAACGCATATTGTTTTACTCGTCAAAGAAATTTTTAAAATGTACATGGAACAACTATTTTTTATATCATTGGATACCTGTGACCTATTTAAAGGACAACATGGGGTTTTAAAACCCAAATGTTGAATTATCTCCCTTGATTAAACATGTTTTTAAAAGTAGTAATTTTCATGAATTCTTCTAAACTGGATGTCTATTTTCGTTGATATTTTGGATTTAGAGAAACTATTAACACTCCTATTAAACCCATCTTTAAGATTTGATTGGAGAGTTGTTGCTGCAACGCCACGCCGAAACAAAGATGAACACAACCAGGCTAACGATGATACTTAACGGAGCTACGGAACAGGAAGTTGCAACTGTATTTGGAATAAATCAATGGGCTTTGCAACCGTTATTATAATAAACTAACGTCTGAAGACCATTATCTGGCCATCCGCAGGTAACCACGACCAGGCAGGACATTCAGACACCCCCCCCCTTCAGCACCTGAAGCGATTCATAACTTGCTGTAAAACTGCTGCTACAATTGCTGGATGAAAAAATCAGCATAAAAGTGCATAATTAAATTGTTCGCAAGAGACTGAAAAGAGATGGTATTCCTCCACGATATCCGTACATTGGAAACTCACTAGCATTCAGACGTCGCACAGTACATATTGTTATATAACATTTTTGAATACGTTTTCCTATTATATCACAATTGTAATAAATTTCGCTATAAACCCTGAAAAATGCCGAGTCACACCGGAAACAGTTATGTCAACACTCGCCGGAAACAGTTATGTCACTATTTCGATCACGTTCGCGTGTTTTTACGTTACGCATTTTTGCTCTGGTTCGAGATGTTATGACGTCGGTTGCTAAGCAAATGTAAACAACGGAGCGTTATCCTTAACGTCAAGAAAGCATTTCTGGATTATTTGTGAAAATTTCAACGATTTTAAATGATTTAATTTTTTTTTAATTTTAAAAATATAATATAACATATACTACATGACTTCTCGGGTGACTATACCAGAATATTTGCCCCTCGGTGACAGGAAAGCCCTGGAGTGTTATGTCACCCTCTGCCTTCGGCATTGGGCGACATAACACTCCAGGGCTTTCCTGTCACCTTGGGGCAAATATTCTGGTATGTCACCCTCGAAGCCATGTGATATATGTATAATGCCCCTTGAATTTGGGGGCGATGAAAATGGCATCAACTTGACTTGTCTATTTGCAACATAGGACATGTTTGATTTTTATCACAACACACTCTAAAATCACTTAAATAAAATAAGGTTTAAACTTAAAACTTAGATTTTCATATTATTCTGAATATGCGTTTCATTTTTTGTTGAGTATATATAGCAACACAGTGACATTATGGGAGGCGGGGGTATCATTTAGTGAGCTCATTGCTCACAGTATCTCTAGTTTTATGTTAGACTGAGGATATGTATCAAGTGTGACAAACTCTGGGTTTTTTTCAGGTATGTTTTGAACTATTTTTCCTTACAAATCAAACTGCAATCTGCTCCAAGACGCAACTCTCCGTAAGGCTGTGTGCATGGCAATAAACTTCAATGTTGCACAATAATAATTGATATTTGAAATCATTAACAAAGTATCTATGCGTTATAATGTCATCATTCGAGACATGGATGTGGATAAAGAGATAATGAAATAGAGTTAAAGAACACAGGTGCTTGAGGACAGGACACCCCCCCCCAATATAGACCCCCGGGCCTGTTAGAATTTTTTCCACATAAATTATATATGGATTACACATTTGTGATATAATCTATCCTATCAATTCAGAAAATTTGCTCAAACTTACATTTTATAAAAAAAAATATCTACCCTCTCTATATATAAATTAACAAGGTTGCCAACTTCTTCTGCAAACCGAGAGGCACTGCCGAGAATTTTGGTTGAATCGACTCATAAATCTAAACAAAGCCCTAAAATCAACAACTCATATTGTAGATTGAATATTCTTTTCATTAACCATTAACTCTCATGAAGGTTAAAGCACTGTAACAGTTGTTATGACCAAGTTTTCGAAAGGATGTCAGGCTACAGTCAGCGTTTTTGCTTAGTGAAGGGAGGTGACGAGGAGACGACTTTTTACCAAAATACACAGTTCTGCAGAAAGTCTAAAACACTGTTTTGAAGTAAAATTTTGAAGAAATTTGGTTGATATACACTTTAAAAAATGTCTTTCAAATGTATTGAGAGAATAGAGTTCTCAACAACTCATATTGTAGATTGAATATTCTTTTCATTAACCATTAACTCTCATGAAGGTTAAAGCACTGTAACAGTTGTTATGACCAAGTTTTCGAAAGGATGTCAGGCTACAGTCAGCGTTTTTGCTTAGTGAAGGGAGGTGACGAGGAGACGACTTTTTACCAAAATACACAGTTCTGCAGAAAGTCTAAAACACTGTTTTGAAGTAAAATTTTGAAGAAATTTGGTTGATATACACTTTAAAAAATGTCTTTCAAATGTATTGAGAGAATAGAGTTCTAAACCGCTGATGCAAATGAAATGTCTCTAATTATTTTTCAAATACCTGATTTGCATATGAGAGTTATGCCCTTTTAAAAATGAAATTTATAAAAATATCTTCTTTTCCTTAAATATTTGTGTAAATCTACAAAACGTTTGAAAATAAAATTTTGATGAAGAATTCGTACAAAAAAAACAAGAATATATCTATTGTTGATATTTTACACGCATATTTGGGTATATGGGGAACATCGGGATTAGTCCTCTCCTCATTACTTCCGTTCAATAAGCTTTTTACGGAGTTGGCAACCTTGTAGATTTTTATATAGAGAATGTAGGGTAGATTTAATAGAACGTTTGTTTTAGGTAATTTTTCGATTTGCCGGTATAGATCTTTTCACAAATATGGCAATGAAAGATTTTTTATGAGAAAAAAAATCGAAAAAGCCCAGGGGTCTATATCGAAGGGAGGGGGGTCCTGTCCTCAAGCACCTGTGTTAAAGAATAGCTTTTTTAATGTCATTCAGCAAGCTGTGTATACCACGACAATAGTCTTTTCATTTTAATTTTTATATTTGCTTCGATTAAAAAAAACTGCACGTTTTACAATCCATCGTTTATATTCGGTATTTCTGTGCAATGAACACTATATGTACTTGATTCAGAGAGAATTTTTCATAAGTACATGATTCTCTGGAATTTTTATCACATTGTGAAAATCTACCCGATAACGTTTTAATTTTTTTTTTTTAAGTCACGCTCGCCTATAAATAAGTACGAGTATTTTTAACAAAATAAAACCCGTGCTTCGCTAGGACTGCTGTTAAATGGACAAGGTCAACTAAATCGTGATCTACCTCGAATAAAAATAGAAATGTGTGCAAGATGACATTCTTAAAGCTGAAAATTTATGTAAAATAATAATGTGAAGCAACTGACTGAACACCTGGCTTATCTTATTTTCTGGTTTTAGGTAAGATAAATATTATATTTAAATCAAAAGGACATTTATCCACTTTAAGCAACAAAGAAGATATATACCCCTTCTCTAGATCAAAAAGACGAACTTGTAGTCAATAGTCCCAGCTTTCTCTTGTTATGAGGATGGACATTCTTTTTCCCATGATGGGCGTCATTATTTGAATGAGAATGGTCACTAGACAGTTTTATCGCAAGTTAACGCATTGTTAGATTCTGAAGACATTTGTTGTTTTTGGCGAAAGATTCATGTAGCTTCTTCTAATTATCGCTTTGTTACATCTGCAAAATCATAACTGCAACGCTTAATACTTCAAACGATAAATTGATCTCATGCTTTAGGGGAAATACCACTCAATGTACAATTTATCTATTCAATTCGTTTTTCACATTACCCAAGACCTTTATCCAATTACTATACAAATACAAGTTTAGTTTACTGCTTTTGATCATTTAAACTTTAACAACGTTCTTGAGGCATATGCAACATAAAGGTGACCCAATTGCAATTTGCATTGCTGCTAAACGTTACGAGTGGATTATACATGAAAGGTTCTCTGGCATTTCAAACTATCAATATCTATCAAAATAATGCAATTTTTATAAGAATCCCAAAGTAGCAATAATCACAGAAACATGTGAAAAGAAAGTTTCAGGGTGTTTTTTTTTCTATCAATATACATGTATCTTATAAAATACACGTACTTATAACCCATCGTTTCTTTTCACTATTATATATATTTCAGCAATTTTGCTGAAATGTATTTAGTGAAAAAAAAACCAATGGGTTTAATATCCCCTTAAAACTTATAAAAGTACACTTTAGATGGTTTCTTCTTTCAGGCACGTAAAAAAAATGACCTTTTATTTTGATATCTTATATTATCTTCTAAGATTTGTCTTAATTTTAGTCCAGGATGGTTTTTTTTTCAATATTAAGTCAACAAAAACAATAAAGCAAATACACATGAAAGTCAAGTTTTATCTCGCCCAGTGGTTCTTGAGACGATTTTTTAAAAAAATGATTTCACCCTATTTTTTGCCTTTCTTGATTATCTCCTCTTGCAAGGGGGCTTGGCCCTTCATTTTATCATTTTAACAATTTTGGTGAGCTAATAATAATAATAAAGGTATGACAAATCTCGACTAATAAAAAAAATTGAGAAGAAATCTAGACAGGAGTTTTTACAATAATTAAGTCATTTAACTACACATATGCGTAGCTTAACTTTCTCAACCTCAGACTGAACAAATGACAATGCATAGCAATGAGTGCGGGTAAAGTAAATGATTAACCGCCCCCATGATCGATTGACTGATTGACTGTATGTTGTTTAACATCCCTCTCAAGATTTTTCAAGACGTTACCTCTTCCGATGGAGAGTTGCAAATTTGGTCCTGTACTCGGCACTCAGGGCCATTGAGCATACGGGCACGGTCCCTACGTCCAAAAGTGGGATTCGAAACCGCGAAGTGAGGATCTGATCAACTCCTTACTCCGCGACTCTTGGAAAAAAAAGCTCTGACCAGTAGTACTGCCCCATTCTGGAGACTTCTCGAATCGAGAATCTGGGGTACTGTTTATAAGTCCGCCGTCTGTCTGTCTGTCTTACTATCTGTCCGTTTGTCTGCAAAACCTTGTCCATAACTTGTGATTACTTGAATATAGGTATTTTATATTTCACACGAGTATTTCTTATGACAAGACTATTCTTTGGATATCAAAATTGAGCTTATGACCTTAGAGTTTGGTCCAATTTTGAACAGTTGGTGCTAGGGTTTTGATATTTCATATGTGTTCTTAATTGAAAGTTATGTGAGAATAAACGTTTTTGTCCATTTGACATTAAAACATAAAATCAAATTAACATCGGTCATTACTTCTGTGCAGCAAGACTACATCTTAATAATTAATTCTACACCTTGACCTTTGATTTTTACCCTCTTTAGAAGAAACTTCATCCTTGGTCTTAACTTTTGAATGGTTAGTGCTTGGACTATTTTCACAGTTAAATTTCCTTTCTCTGGTTTATAGCATTTTTATATTTTTGGACCTTGTTGTTTCATTTGCATTTAAGAAACTTAGACTTTCACATAACCATAATATAAGGGCATCGGTGTTTAAAACCGTATTTGAATTTGTATTCTTGTATTTGAGTTAGGATCATCTTTGAAATGTGCATTACACTTGTATTAAGAAATATCTTAGTCTTGAACCAGACATATCCCGTATTTTTGATTAAAGTCTTTTTTTTTCCTTTTGAAGCTTTTTTCCCCATGGTGTTCTGAAAAACTCTTTACAAGTAACTAAAGTAGATTTTTTTCATTCCTGAAATATACTGCTTGTCATTTATGTACCATTTAAGATAAAGAATAATTTGCGAATCACAAAAAAATCCCTAAAATTTAAACGCCATTTAAGGACATATGCAACGTTATTGTCTTTTTCTCTGGAGTTGAAGAGTTCCAATACTTTCTCTTATACAAGTTTGGATGAACAAAACGTCTAGAATATATTTTGAGTAATTTTTGTATATTTGTCTTTGAATTATACAAGAATGTTCAGTAGTTCATATCTTTTCAAAATCCCTGGTAATGCTTGATGATTTTTCTAATGATACTATTATCTTAAAATTAAAATTATCTTGAAAAATTACCAGTAAGTATGGTACGTTGGGTATGTCCTTTATTGGATATATCATTTGCCATTTTGGATTACCATCATTTAGGTTACCACGATCTTCCAGAAAGTAAAGGAACAATGAGAAGACTAATATCTTTTGTTGCACTGATAATGTACTGGTACCAACCTGTTCAATGTCAACCACGTCCTGAATGTGCTCCTGATAATCCTAATCGACCCCCAGACTGCCCAGTATGTCCACGAGAGGGGTGCCGGTCCTCTACGATGGATATAGCTACACTTATTCCTATAGAGGATGTTACATCTACCTCAACAGATAAAACACAATGTAGGTTCTTTACCATCTAATTGAGTGTTTAATTTTTACATATTTATTTATTTTTCTACATTTAATCTATAACATTAAAACATACATAATGTCTGTGGTATATTTGAGTAGAAAGACAAGGACAAGTAATCAAATGGGAGATACGATGTAACGAAATGAAAATAAATATGATAAATCGTACAAACATAAATATATTAAATAAATATATTCATTTACTATTCCAGACTGTGTGTTATTAAATTATGTTAGCGTCGTATTAAATCAAGATTTTTTTTATTCAGTCAGTGGATTGACAACAGAAGAGATTTCAAAATTTTCAGCAAGTTCGGAGTACGGAGCGTCAGTCCGAGTTCACACTGATGACCCAAGAGTGTAATAACAAAATATTTACATCCACTGAATATATTTTCCTTTATTTCTTATGAATACCATTGCCATTAATTAGTTTATGAACAACACTGAGGAAGCCACGTGTGAAGCTGTTTTAACAATGGCTGTTCCATCATTTTTACATACAATGACATACATGTATACATCTTAAAAATAATAGTTAACAAATTTTATTTCACTTTGAATGATTTTGAGACAGATAAATATAAACAATAAAGTGCTTTCTTTGTTAGTACGGGAATTAACGTCGCAGCAATTGCAGTAAAAATACATAACCCGCGTTTTTTCTGCAATTTCTGCGACATTAATACCCGTACTAACAACCAAAGAAAGCATAATATTATTTAAGTAAATGTGCAATTTTAAATTGTAACTTAAAATATCAAGTGGTTGTTTTCCAAGTCCAAGTACATTATAAAAGTATTAATCTGATCTACTTTGTGAAAAAATAGCCTTAAAATAATAAATTGAATTTTGAAGTTTGAAAAAATGGTCACAATTTGAGAAAATTAAAATTAAAAAAAGCTAAATGATTATGCCAGCATTCGTGATGCTTAAAAGGAGACACCTTTTGTCTTGTGTTTATATTAATCCATATAAATACCTTAAAATTTTAATTCAGATTTTTCATTTCGGCGAGTGGACTTCCTGATCATGAAACACAGAGAGTCAATCCAAACACACCCACAGCTCAGAACTACAATATAACAATTCTGAAAAATCCCCAGATTGAACAAGTACCCGGATGTGTTGGGCTGGGAATGATTGGAATTACACGAACTGGTGTCGCCATCTACAATCCACTGGCAGGGGAGTTAACAAATGCTGTGGAGGGATCCAATCCCGAAACGTTCGATCAATGTGATGGACACGCAAGTCCAAATGGTGCTTATCATTACCATAAAATACCCGATAGTTGTATGTATAAAGGGGAAATTGACGAATTCATTGGAGTGGCGCTTGATGGCTTTCCTATCTATGGACCGAGGGTTGGACAGTCAAAGAACATTTCCGAAGCTGAATTGGATAAGTGCCATGGAAAATTTGTCAATGGGAGTTACAGATATTATGTTACAGAGAAGTTTCCATATTATTTGGGTTGTTTCAAAGGACGTGTTGTTAATCAAGGGACAATAACTTCTAACAATTGTACCACAGACACATCACGTAAGTTTGTTACATCGACCAAAATTGTGGATATTTATGTATTATTTCTTC